TATATATATAGCTTATATAACTTCGATAAAAAATGAATTGAAATAAATAAAATAATACTAATAAAGTCATTTGGTATTTTTTCAGATCACATTAATTTACCTCATCAGCACTCTCAAAAAGCACACTTTCTTCAATTAATTGCATTTAATCATAACTATATCTGACTCATAATCAAGATTATTCCATCTAGTCTTTAAATAATATGATATAGACCAATTAACCAAATTGTCCCCACCAGTCAATTGTCAACCACAGACATTCCTTTTAGGTTTTATTGTTCATTTTTCAAACTAAATTATACTTATTTCTAAACTCTTATGTAAAAGACATCATATGGTCAAATTATAATCTTTTAAAACACAGTAGGTATGACTCTTTGTTAGAATTTATGAATAAATTTTCTTTAAATAAAAAATTGAGAATCACAATATTTTGTGGAAAGATGATGTATTTGTTTTCTGAAGTACACCCACTTATATGAAATATGAAATGATATGTTTTCTGAAATGATAAATATATAGTTTTTGTTCAGTTTTTTATAAATAAAACTTCTTTTTAAAATTTATCTTATCTTCTCTCTCTCCGATTGCTCATAGGTTATAGTGTTCGTTAATCTTGTGGTTGAAGCATTTCACTCACATATTAGCAATTGTCGTATTTTGGAAGATAATTGTTCGTTATACTTTGAGCAGCATGCATGACTAAAATTATCTCTAGAAAATATTACTGTTGGTTTGGTTCAAATTAATCAACTTCTATGTTTCCTTAATTAACCCTATAAACGCTATTATTTATTAGTCATAAGAAAATTATATGGTTACAAATCTTAAATTAGAGTGAAAAACGCAAACAACACGTAGAAGTGGGGATTCGAATTTACGTCTTTATAGACGGGAATAGGTGACTTAACTAGTTGAACTAAATTCATGTCAGTATAAAACGTACCAAACACACTGCTTAGATTTTAAATTTGACATTACACTTCCACATATCTATATCTTCAACCAAATCTCATTCATATTTTAGTTATTTGTCACGGACTTGATTTTGGACTTTTGATCTCAATACTATCTATATTATAGGTTTAGATGCACATTTGAATGCTACGCTCTTACACCAACTATTCATAAATTCATGATTTCTCATTTAATCAATGTAAAACTTTAATCACAACTAACAAAAACCGACCCCACCATTTTTCTTTTTTCTTAAACAAGATTTGCTAGCCTTTCTCACGATTACTCTTTAAGTTTTTGCTGTCTATGATAACAAAACGAGATGAACCAACGACAGTTGAACAGCCAACAAGTTAAAAAAAAAATGATAAATTGAATAATATATATCCAAAAGAACACATTTTGGTCCAATCGGAAGAATGGCATTATCGAATTTAACAAATAGAATGATGAAAGTAAAAACATATTTAAATTTAGAGACGAGGGACTTTTTAAAAATGTTAATCAAAATGAATTAGAAGGCAAGCATATTTCCCACCTTCACAACACACCTCATCAACCTCCTCATAATTGGATATTATATATTTTACCAAAATTTAATTCCTTCTTATATATACTGACACTTACAAGAGTGGAAAAGCTAATGGTACTTTCTTTGTCTTTTATGGATAATGAAAAGAAAACTTTAACTGAAAAAGAGGGGGTCTTTTGGGTGTCTGGTTAGAAACCATTTTTCAAGTTTAGTCAAAAATATATTTATATAAAATGTAATCCCATGCAATCAAATCACTCAAATAAAGGGCAAAAAGCCCAAAGTTTACTTTCTACCACCTTAATTGGGCCATCAAACAGAAAGCCCAAAATCTCAAATTATGGGCTTCGGAACGATGAGGCCCAATTTTTAATTGTTCCAAGCTTTTTCACCCTGCTCACATGGAGGAATTCTCTGCTGATGAAACTCTGAAATGTTCAAATTGTTGATGACTTACGGTTTCTAACTTAAAAGCCCCTTGATTTTCCGGATTCTCCACTTTCGTGGTTGCCGCCGCCGGCCTTTCCTTCTCTGGTAATCCAATTTGAATTTTATGTGAATCTCATCGTCAAAATGATTATTTCTTTATTTGCCGGAATTTTAACTACCGCTCAACTATGCCTACGTTGGTACTAAAATAAAATATGGTATAACAGGTAAAAATTTTGTTAAATATGTGGGAGCGGAGATTTAAATTCATAACTTTTTGGTTGGAGATAGATATTTTAACTTTAAAATCAAGGTTGTTGTTAGACACTTATAATAAGATTCTTCGGCTTGGAAATTTGTAACTAAACAATATGCTTTAATAACGGTTGAATCTTAAATATTTTATATTTAAATAAGATATAACTAATATTAAATTGAGCATAGCTCAACGGTAATTGACATATATCTGCAACGGATTCTCCACCCATGTACTAAAAAAAATAATAATAAGATGTAATTAATGATTACTCTAGCCCATGGTTGAATTTGACAATGAGGCTCAAGTCTTTATCCAAAACAAGGGCCCAGGCCTTAAGTAGTTATCCCAGCGAGCATATGGACCGCCATTGACTAGATCTCAAGATTAATGGGCCAAGCCCAAGTCTCATCTAAACATGGGCCTAGGCCCAAATATGATTTGAGTTTGCTGACATCTAGCCTGCCCACCATCCTTCGGCTAATGTTTCTTAATTATTATTTAGTTGGAAATGTTCTCTCTCAATAATTTAAAAGTGCTTTGATTTTTAAACAGCTTTTAATTTTTAAGCACCTTTTGAAAAACTGTTTATTCATTATTTTTTCAATTGTTAACAGGAAAAGGGTTTTATTAGACTAACCACCTAAAAGCAAATAATCTTTATTTTTAAAAATATTACCAAAGATGAATATGGAATATGGAATCCTAGAATTGGAAGTACACAAAATCTTGAAGTGATTGTGCTGGTAGATTGATTCGGTAGACAGCACGTCCAACCTCAACCTCCCCAAAATTGACAATCTAATTTGCAATGTATGTTGTTACTAGACAGCCAATCCAATAAATGAAGGGTTCTTTAGTCTTTTCAATATATTTTTAATACTCCTGTCACATGGTCATTGATGTTAATTTGACTAACACAGTCCAACATTTTAATTGATGTAGGATTTTGGCTCGTGGTGTTGTTCTTGATTATGAATATCCGAATTACACACCAATATTGTGTTAGTGCATTAAGTAATACCGAAGATTTTGTGTCAAGTTGAGAGAGAAGAATTTTTATTTTCGCAACGGATCTTTAAAGACTATTATTGTCAAGCTTCTTGCTAGACCACAACCATAGAAATGTAAGACAACACTAAAATGGAGAATAGTAACAAAAAAGTACATCATTTGAGTTACATTACTATCAAAATTTGATATGTTATTTTCTTCGAAAAGAAAAAAAAAACAACTTTCAATATCTAAGGGTAAAAAAGACATTTTAGAAATTTGCTACTATTATTATACAAAATTATCATTAGACTTAAAAGACTAGGTTGTGATAGGTTTAGAATAAATTATGAGATCCTATTTAAAACGTTTCAAAATTTAAATTTTAAAAAGTGTCTATTACTAAACAGTTCCGATACAACATTGAAATAAGATGGTGTTTAAAGCATTTTAAAGTTGATGATATTGATTCCTTCCGTCTCAATTTTTAGAAATATTGGTTTTTTTTAACAGGAAAAGTAAAGAAAACGACTATTCTTGAAAGCGAAAAACACGACACAACCACAGTGGAATCAAATGACATTTGAATTACTTCCATGCGAAGACCAACAACGACTACCAACAAAATAATTGCACCATGCATTATTTTCGACAAAGTTCTCTCTTTTAAAATGTATTATTTTGAGACAAATTTATCGAGAACTTAAACCCCAAAATAAATGCCATATTCCAACGAGGAATACATAACGGTCACTGCCTCCCCCTTGGACTCATACGTCCAAAATTTTTCAAAACAAAACCAACATCCAACTTGATGTTTTTATACTCATGTTCTTAACTTTTAGTGCACTCTTATTCGACAAAAAAATTATTGAAACAATAAAAAAATAACATTATAAAATCCAAGATGAATATTTTAAAAGGAGGGAAGTCAGAAAAGCCTATATATTAACTATAAGAAAATAAATGGAGGTCAGTATCAGTACAAGTAGCAGCACGACGTTTTACTGAAAACTGCAGATTTGATTCAGACAGGCTGTACCCAAAAGGAACGGTACTCAACCAAAAAAAAAAAGAAAACACAAACTTTGAAAAGGGGTTGCAAAAATGGGTCTGGTTAGAGAGAAGATTTGG